AGTTTTTCTTTTTTGCCACTTGAAAAAGGTACTATGTATATTTTTGTACAAATACATTGTTTTCTCCTTTCTTTGATTTCTTTCGTGTAATGGGCCTAGTAGATGTTTCATTAGGTCAAAGGATATACAGTTTATAAATTTGGGGTCATAGTTCCAATTTGCTTTCTAGAAAGGCTGCACCAATTCACAGCCCCATCAAAAGTATATTAATTTTCTTCCCCCTTCCCCCACCACATACTTTCTAATATTTAGCATTTTCCTTTGTCAATATCTTTGCCAGTCTGATAGGAATGAAGTGGAACCTCATAATTTGGTTTTATTTACTTTTTTTTTCATTATTAGTAATTTGAAGATTTTTTTCATTTATTTACTGATAACTTGAATGTCTCCCTTTGAGAATTGTCTGTTCACATCCTTTGAACACCTATCACTTGTGTGGGATGGCACTTATTCTTATGAATTTGAATCAATTTCATTGATATATATATACATATATATTTGGAAATAAGAATTTTATCGGTGAAACTTGCTTCATAGATTTTTCCCAGTTAACTGTTTCCCTTCTAATTTTATCTATAAGTTTTATGCAAAAACTTTCAGTTTTGTTGCTATTATTCTCATGACCTATTTTTTTTTCTTTGGGCAGGAAATCCTGATAAGTAATGTGCCATAGTTTCCCCTCATGATTTTCATGTATTGGTAGAAATGATGATGGGATTTTTAAACATTTGTACTAAAGTATTTGGGAAAATCTCTTATGGTACCTGTTACAGATATTTTTAACATGGAAGTGAAATTTCGAGTGATTCGGAAGTATCAGTCACTCACTTTGATAAACTATAGTGAGTGACTAGAAGTTGTCATTTGGATAGTTTTCAAAAATCATTCTGTTATATGTAAGCATACAAATCATTTGCCTGATCAGTATTCCAGTTACAATATTATATGAATATCACTCTTAAGCCTTGAAATTATTAGAAACTTTTCAGTACTGCAAAATAAGAAGTTTTATTATTGTTATTGTTGCTGTTTTATTCTCTGTATAGTCAGATAAACCTGCTCAATCTGAATACAGATTTCAGTTTTCAAAAATGTCATTACCTTGGGTAAGTAATATGAGATTTCCATGATCCACATACCAAATCAATAATACTCTAATAAGGTGTTGAGTCACTCTAGATATTAAGATGACAGAATTCAAGAATAATACATTTTCTGAGTTTATTGTCTTTCTGTCACTTTATTCTAATCCAAGCTATTTAACTTTTGAAACTTAACAAAATAGGTATTTTTTTTTCCAAAATAGCCTGTCAGCCATATGATTTATTCAGGTTTAGAAGACTAAGAACCCATCCTTTTAAGTGTTACATTTCTCACATTGTAAAGTAAATCATTCCCAGTTTTTCACCTCATCTATGAATTTTTGGATTGAATTTGCAGAGTTTTACATTTGGAAAGAGTTGTACAAATCAACAAGATATTACATTTGACAGAAATAAATAAATTAAAATTGAGTTTTGAAAAGTCCTTTACTTTGGTAAGTTCATGGGTGATTTTATTCTTTCTCAATAGAGGAAGTGATTATTTTTCTCTAGTAATGCCCACTGAATCTTTGTTACATTAATTTCTACTAGTGACCTTCCAAAATAAAAATCCTATCTTACTCTGATACTTTGATCAATGATTTCATTGGTGTGGTAGCTCTCTGCTCATCTATTGCAATTCCCATCAATGTATTTTCCTATATATGTTTCATAGAGGATTTTTCCAATGTGTTAGAGGTCACTCTTTTTATTTTAATATCATGGACTTGTCCCTTGGGCTTTATATTATTTCTAATTCTTTTCAAATGATTAGTTCAACAATTTATACAGAGAGAGAGACAGACAGACACACAGAGAGAGAGAGAGAGAGAGAGAGAGAGAGAAATATAATATATATAGATACATACATTTATCTATCTACATTTATCAATCTATATCTATCAATCTCTCTCTGATATCAATCTTTGTTGATGCTTTTATGACACTTTTTGTCATGAAAATCACCACAGATAATAGAACTAAATCAACTGTTTAGCACAAGACATATTTTTGCCAAGGCAGTCTGCTCACAAAACAGTGGTGGTATTAGTGGTTGGCAGCTAGATGGTACAGCAGATAGAGTGCCAGGCCTGAAATCAGGAAGACTCATCTTTGTGAGTTCAGATCTGATCTTACATGTTTAATAGCTATATTTCTCTGGGCAAGAAACTTAATCCTGTTTGCCTCTGTTCCTCCTCTGTAAAATGAGCTGGAAAAGGAAATGGCAAAGCACTCCAATATCTTTGCCAAGAAACCCTCAAATGGAGTCACAAAGACAGTCATTATGGAAATGGCTGAAAAACAATAATGACAAATTCCCTTTGAGGAAGAAGTCCCAAAGGTAAATGGTAGAAGTATCTCTGCTTAGAAGAAGCCTAGCAACAGATGCCAGTGATAGTCCTGAGATGGAGGAGTAATACAGTGTCAGAGAGTGGAGTTATATTGAGCTATAGTCAAGTGTTGGGAGAATGAGTAGACAGAGTCTAGAAAAATATTTGAGTTTGGATTAAACCCTAGTAGTATGAATTGCCTGGGGAGAGTTCCTTTCTCCCTTAATTAGGAATCATTGAGATATTATTCTCTTTTTTGTATTGAGTGACGATCCTATGTTACTTACGGTGCATTCTGTTTCAATTACATGTATTTTACTGATTTCATTTGCCATCTGTCTCAATCTAGAACAGTCATAGGCTTGGGGTTTGGAATTCTAAATTAGAAGATGAAAACAAAACATCAAACCTGGGAAGTGTTAGGGAGAGGGGAAGACATTGTAAAAATACATGATGGTATATTAAAAAATTTCATTGACAAAATATAGTATAAATTATGCTAATAAACTTTGGATCTTCCTTAAGAGGATTCAAGTATCTATCTAAAACACTAAAAGTCCCTTAAGGGTTCTCATTTATATTAATCTTTTTTTTTTGTATGTTTCTCTTGGCTCCCATGTTTGTATTTCAAAGGTTCTATGCAGATCTGTTCTTTTCTTCAGAAACACATGGAAGTTCTCCATTAAAAAAAAAGTACATTTGTTTCTCCATATTCAATTTTACTGGGTATATTATTCTTAGTTGTTAGAGTATATCTTTTGTACTATGGAATATTTTATTTCACATCCTTCTCTCCTTTAGGGGAGGAGATGATAAATCATATGCATTCTTGAAAATAGATCCTTGATACTTGAATTTTATCTTTAAAGCTGCTTGAATTATTTTTCTCTTCAACTTAGAAACTCTAGATTTTTACTTTGATACTGCTGCAAATTTTCATTTTGGGATTTATTTCAGGAGTAACTAATAAATTCTTTCTATTTTTACTTATTCCTCTGTTTCTAAGGGGTCTGGGAATTTTTCTTTAATTTCTTGAAATATGATATCCAAGTTCTTTTATCGGTTGTGGCTTTCAGATAATCAAATGAATCCTAAATTGCCTTCCCTTACTATTTTTTCCAGATCAGTTATTTTTGCTATGGAATGTTTTATACCTTCTTCTATTTTTTTCAGTCACTTACTTTTTAAAAAAATATGTCTTGTTATCTCAAAGAATCATTAACTTTGTCACATTCTAATTTTAGGTGAGTCTGTTACTTGGGTAAGCATTTGCATTTATGGTTCTAAGCTGTTAATTATCTTTCTGTCTTTCTCCTAGAATGGTTTCATTTCTTTTCTAGTTCTTTACTCTATCCTCATTTCATTTATGATATCATTTTAAAACTATTACTTCATTTCTTCTTGGAATTTTAATTGATCTTATGGTCAAGTTTGGGTTTTTGTTTTATTTTGTTTTGTTTTAGACTTCACTCATAGGTGTTTTGGAGATCTTCTCCCCTTCTAGATTCCTGCCTTAAGCATCAATAGCATCATAATAGCACTTCATCATTTTTTGCTCAGTGTTCCAGCCCAACTTCTTGGATATGGATTTTGTGTTAGGGACAGGATCTGCATACTTCTTGTAGGTTTACAGTAGCATTATATGGTCCTTACCTGTCTTTTCTGGTGTGCTGATGCTAGGGTCAGAGTGATAATAATGCAGCTCTGTTCTGCTTCCAGCATTTGGATTCATGCTAATGGAGATGATACATTGTTTTCTCCTTAAATTTCAAGTCACTATACAGTCTGGCAATTAGAAGGAAGTTAAGTTGTACATGAGTTCCTTCTGGGACAACTCAAATTTTAATATGGGTCCAGGCTGGCAATGCTTTATTACCTTCCTCCCTTCTAGCTGTGCATATAGATATAATATTAATATAGATATAGATCCAGATTTCTTGCTTAGTGAGCAAGTTTTATACAGAATGGAGGAAAGAGGGAGGGAGAGAGAGAGACAGAGAGAGAGAGAGAATGAGAGAGAATTTGTGTTATCAACTTAGAACAATTTACATATGGAAGAGAGACTAGAACAAGGTGCTTTCAAAGGAAAGTAATATCAAAGTAGGTACAGCTTCCTGTATTTAACATTCTTGTTATCAGCAAGGTCTTTCATGGCTAGGATAGAGATCTCTTAAACTTAAAATAACATTTTTTAAAAATTTTATGATACAATCTACAGCTTTCTGAAGGTAACATTTACTATTCATTTAAGAATTAAAATTATATACATACATGTATATATATATTTATATATAATTTGTACATGAGTTAGTTCAATATTAGAAAAAACCATAAATATCACAATAAAATCCACAAAAATCATGAGTACATCAAGACATAAATTATTAGTACTTTGAAAATATGTCTCTTTCTAAACAATTATGTATCCAAAATACAAGCAATGAATACAAACTGGAACTTAATGTGCATCGGGAATATAAGAGATGAAAAACAACTACAAGATGAGAGAACCACTAATAATGTGATAATTACTACTATGAGTCTTTCAAATTTTGATCACAATAGTATGATTCATGTGCTGTTTCATTTTTTTTACAATCAAGATAAAGCCTCATTCTGACTCCAATTCTTTAAGTTTATCTTCTCTGTTAACTTCAAATTCTGATCATATTAAGTAACTGAAGCTAAGAGTAAAGCAAGTTTCAACTGTCTTTACTTGAAGAGCAAATACACTCTTCCATTGTATAATTTATTAACCCCCCTGGATGGCCTCTCAATCTAAACCAAATACTACATGTATTGGATAAATGTGGTTTCTATCTTTAATTCTTCTGGGTGTTATGTGGGTGATAAGCATCCACTTAAACATTATTTCTGTAGCAGAATAGTAAATTTCCTTTCTATTTCCATTACTATTTGAACAATGAAGAGGGTGAAGAGGATTCAGCTACTCTTGGGAATGCCTATTTCTACTAGTAATGTGCTTAAGGACAATGTGCACAGAAAAGTGAAAGTTGAACATATATTAAAACATATATGCTAATTGAAATGCTCCCAGAATCAGAATCTCAAAGTTAGAAGAAATCCTCAGAGCTCTCCAGTCAAGCCCATGCTAGACTAAGTTCTTCTACAACAAATGTAAAATGCTCATCAATTGTTTGTTTGAAAACTTCTAACAATGTGAAACCTACAACTCTCTAAGGCAGTTCCTTTCCCCTTTGTACAGCTTTAATGGTTTACAAGATTTTCCTTATATTAAACTTAAATACTTCTTTGAAGCTTGAATACATTCCTCATGGTTTGTCTTTCTGCATCAAATAGAAGATATTTAATCAATCTTTTTGCAATACAGTTCTTCAAATTCTTGATAGTTTTATCATAACTCTTTTGTTTTCTTTTATTCCAAGTAACTGATAACCCAAGTTTCTTCAACTGTTCCTCAAATGCCATGATCTTCAGGTCTTTCACCATACTGCTTGCCCTCATTTGGATACTGTCCAGCTCGTCAATTTCATTTATATTCTATGGGGCCAAGAACTGAACCAAATGCATTCTGACCAGGAGAGAGTACAGAAATATATTTAGATTTTTTAAATACACATGCATATAACAAAAATCAATGGAATAAAGTTATTTCAGGTAGCTTAATGTCCATTTTGGGATCAATTTGATCTGATTCAAACAAGTCTTTTTTTTTAAATAAAGACAAAATGTTATTCACTCAATTTTCACATTTCCCTAGGTCTCTTAAAAATTCAAGTTTTTGGTTCAAATTTTTCAGTTACTATCTATCTTCTTAGCTTTTTCCTTGTCTACCTTCCCCAACAGTCACCAAGTTGATTTTTCCCCTCTAAATGATTGTCTAACATATTTTTTTCTGCTTTCTTTTTAAAAATATATTTTTATTGATATGTTTTGTTTTTTATATCATCATAGTTTCACCCCAAATTTCTCCCTTCTCTCCATCCTACAAAGCCATGTCATATAAGAGATACTATTTTTAAAGGGAAAAGGGAAAAAAGCAGCACAATTAATCAATATATTGAAAGAGCCTGAATAGGTTCAATGTGCAACACCCATGAATTGCCTACTTCCAAGAAGGGATAGGTTAAGAGTGTCTTCTAACATTTTTTTTCTTTCTAGTCACGCTTGTTCTTCATTATTTTGTAGCATTCACTTTTGATGTTTGTGTGTATATGTGTGTATGTATGTGTGTGTGTGTGTATGTGTATGTGTGAGTGGTTATTCTTTCCATTTATACCTTTTCACTTTCAATGCCACAAACGTGTTCAAATCTTAATCATGCCTATGTGACCTGTATTATCTTGATTGGTATCCTTGATCCAGTCCTTCCTCTTCTATCTTGAACATCACCACAAACTCAATTTCTTAAAAATTTCATTTTTAGTGTGGTACTCTCCTACTCTGAGCTTTCAATGACTCACCATTATCTATAGAAGGAAGTATAAAAGTTTTAGCAATCTGATCCCTAAGTACTTTTTTTTACGTTTATTTATTTTTAGTTTTCAACATTCACATCCATAAGATTTCTCCCCATTTCTTCCCTCCTACAACCCCAAGACAGCATGCATTGTGAATAACCTTTCCCTTAATCTGCCCTCCCTTCTATCTCTCCCTCCCCTTCTCATCCCCTACCCCTTCTGTCTTCCTGTAGGGCAGGATAGATTCCTATACCCCATTGCCCATATATCTTATTTCCCAGTTCTATGTGAAAACAATTTTTTAAAATTTGTTTTTAAAACTTTGGGTTCCAAATTTTCTTCCTTCCTCCCTCCTCAGCCATCCTCAATATAGGTTATACTTGTGTAGTCATACAAAACACTTCCATAGTAGTCATGCTGTGGAAAGCTAACTATATTTCCTGTCATCCTATCCCCCCCCCCATTATTCTATTCTCTCTTTTGACTCTGTCCCTCCTCAGAAGTTTTGCTTCTGACTACTCCTCCCCTAAACTGTCCTCCCCTCTATCATCCTTCCCACTCTCTTATCCCCTTCCCCCCTATTTTCCTATAGGGTAAGATAGCTTTCCATACCCAACTGAGTGTGTATGTTATTCCCTCCCTAAGCCAAATCCAATGAGAATAAGATCCACTCATTCCCTCTCACCTTCCCCCACTTCCCCTCCACTGTAAAAGCATTTTCTTGTCTGTTTCATGTGAGATAATTTATCCCATTCTACTTCTCCCTTTCTCCTTCTCCCAGTATAATTCTCTCTCACCACTTAATTTTATTCTCCAGATATGACCCCTTCATTTTCAACTCACCCTGTGCCCTCTATCTATGTATCTATATCTATATATACATACATATAATTTTTTCCCCTCCAACTACCCTAATATTGACATAGGTCCCATGAGTTACAAATATCATCTTTCCATGTAGGAATGTAAACAGTTCAACCTTAGCAAGTCCCTTATGATTTCTCTTTCCTGTTTACCTCTTCATGCTTCTCTTGAGGCTTGTATTTGAAAATCAAAATTTCTATTCAGCTCTTGTCTTTTCATCAAGAATGCTTAAAAGTCCTCTGTTTCACTGACTGTCAATTTTTTCCCTGAAGGATTATACCCAGTTTTGCTAGGTAGGTGATTCTTGGTTGTAATTCTATTTCCTTTGCCCTCCAGAATATCATATTCCAAGTCCTCCAATTCCTTAGTGTAGGAGCTGCTAATTCTGTGTTATCCTGATTGCATTTCCACAATACTTGAATTGTTTCTTTCTGGCTGCTTGCAATATTTTCTCCTTGACATGGTAATTCTGGAATTTGGCTGTAACATTCCTAGGAGTTTTCCTTTGGGGATCTCTTTCAGGAGGTCATCAGTGGATTTTTTCAATTTCTGTTTTACCTCTGGTTCTAGAATATCAGGGTAGTTTTCCTTGATAATTTCTTGAAAGATGATGTCTAGGCTCTTTTTTTTTTTTGATCATGGCTTTCATATAGTTCAATAATTTTTAAATTATGTCTCCTGGATCTATTTTCCAGGTCAGTTGTTTTCTCCAATGAGATATTTCACATATTTCACATTGTCTTCTATTTTTTTCATTCTTTTGGTTTCATTTTAAAATGTCTTGATTTCTCATAAAGTCACTAGCTTCCAATTACTCCATTCTAATTTTTAAGGAAGTATTTTTTTCAGTGAGCTCTTGGACTTCTTTTTCCATTTAGACAATTCTGCTTTTTAAGACATTCTTTTCCTCATTGGCTTTTTGGACCTCTTTTGCCATTTGGGTTAGGCTATTTTAAGATATTATTTTCTTCAGTATTTTGGGGGGGTTCCTTTAGCAAGCTGATGTCTAGTTTTTCATGATTTTCTTGCATCACTCTCATTTCTCTCCTCAGTTTTTCCTCACCTTCTCTTACTTTCTTCTCAAAATCCTTTCTGAGCTCTTCCATGACCTGTGACCAAATCATAGTTTTCTTGGAGGTTTTGGATGTAGGAGCTTTCACTTTGTTGTCTTCTTTGGGTTGTATGGTTTGATCTTCTTTGTCATCAAAGAAAGATTTAATGGTCTGACTTTTTTTGAGCACATTGCTCATGATCCCAGTCAATTACTTGAGCTTTAAAATCTTTGTTAAGGTGGGAGTCTGCTTCCAGTGTGGAGAATGTACTGTCCCAAGCTTCAGGGGTTTTATGCAGCTGTTTTCAGAGATAATTCTAGGGACCTGTAAATCTTCAGTTCTTCCAAGGCGGTACAATCAAGGGCGAAGTCTTTGCTCCTTTCCTGGCCTGTGCTCTGGTCTATGAATGACCACAAGAACTCTTTTCTTTCTTGGAACTGTGAGGAGGATTCCCTCTCCACCACCACTACAAGTTCCACCATGCCAGCACTCCTCCTTACCCCAGGACCACCACCCAGAACTGTGACCTAGATCCAAGCACAAGCAGAGCAAAAGAATGCTGCTATAGAACCAGCAAAGAGATCCCTGCAATCTCCCTCTGATCATCCACTTGGTTCCCCCTCAGTCTGTGGCCAGGAAGCTTCAGAAGCAAACACCACCCCAGGGTCGTGTGGGGTCTGGGGCTGGGACTGAGCTTCTCTCACTGAGGTCACAGACTTTTCCTACTGACCTTCTAAGTTGTCTTTGATGTTTGTGGGTTGAGAAGTTTGGAAACTGCCGCAGCTGCCCATGATTCAGTCCTCTGAGGCCTGCTCCAGGTTTGTTGAGGCCTGTTTTGCCTGCACATCCACATTGAACTGTGTTTCTCTCCCAGCCTGGCACAATAGACCTTTCTAATCAGCCATTCAGGTTGTCTTGGGCTGGAAATTTATTTTGCTCTGTCTTTTTGTGGATTCTGCTGCTCTAGAATTTGTTTAGAGTCATGTTTTACAGGTATTTGGAGGGTTTTGGGGGAGAGCTCAAGCAAGTCACTGCTTTTACTCTGCCATCTAGGCTCTGCCTCCCCCTCCATATCTTAGTCTGCCATCTTGGCTCTGCCCCCCAGATCTTCCTCCTTAAGTTATAGGGAAAGTTAGAACAACTAAAAATATCTTGGCAGATTCTGGAGGTTTTGTGATTGATCATTAAGGAGTTTAGAACTCCTCCTTACAACCCTAGTCACTCTTTTCTTCCACTCCCTTGGCTTGTGTACTTTTGATTTCGCCCTCCCCCACCTGGGCAAAAGGAAGGAGGGGGAGGGGCAGCAGCTACAGTATGGGCCTCGCTGGCAATGAGCTTGGGCCCTAGGACAACCTTTGTCTGGAAGCATCACCCAGGTTCAGCACATCCTGCTCAAGATAAAGAAGCTGGCCTCTGAACTTGGGTAAGTATGCTCTTTTAAATTTGTGTTTTAACTGTTAATGATGAGATGTTGATTCTCTGTGTAAAGTAATTTGGAAGTCCATTTAACAAAACTGAAGTCACCTGATTGGTAATGAGTTTGTTTCAAGTTTCAAGTTGGTGAACTTAACTTTCTGTATCAGTTATGTCAAGCAACTTTTCAGAATTTGGTTACCACTAAAATAATTTAGCTATTGTTGGTTATTGTTTTAATGTGTAAACTAGCCAAAAAGCTTGTTTGGGTTATGTATGGCTTGCTGAGAATTTGCAATTGTATAGAAATCTAATGACCATTTTTTATGTAAATCCTGGAAAAGTTTTTCCTAGGCTGTGATTAGTAAAAATTGCTGTTTGAGGTAAAGGCTCATAGGATTTTATTGAGTTGTCTGATGGGTCATAATCCATCCATAATCAATAATCCAACAATCTTGAGAGAAATGCCACAAGCTACTCAGAGAATATGATACTGGTCTGAAGTCAGCATCAGGAAAAGCTGAGAGGACAATTTTAGCCTCAGTCTAAGATGGGATCCTCCTGGCTCAGTTTCCCCATTATGTTCCTTTGAAAGGGAATGTTACCCACCTGGCTATCCCAGAGTTTGTCTATGAAGTGGATTTGATACTATATGACTTGAAAACTGAATTATCTGAATCCATACAGAGCTAAGGATGTTCTATCCTCTCAAAGTTGGGCCCTAAATCTAGTCCCTGCTTTATATCTGGACCCTGTAGTCTTTTCTGTCAGATTTGTGTCTTCCAGACTACAGGCCATTCACCTACAGTTGGTAACAGCGAGTGCCAGCCAATGTCACCCCATCATTCTCTGGATGCAGCCTGTGCTCAGTCCAGTCAACCTCTTCTTTGGGACCCCATTGAGGCAGGTACAGCTCTATGCCCCTTGCCAGCAGGAAGCAGTTTCAGAAGCCGAGACCTTCACCCTTTACCCCAAAAGAATTTGGGTTCCTATTTGTTTGAGGGGGGAATGATGGGGTTGGAATCTGGACCCCAGAAAGGAAAAACCCTAGACTTTCCCACGTTCCTCTGAGGCTATGATCCCATCAACTAGCCTTTCATTGTGGCTACACCCAATCTCCCCTCCATTGTCTTACCTCCCTATGGCCCCTGGCCATGTCCCACACTTAATCCTAGCTAGGCTTCATTGTCCAGGTCCCAAGAGTTCTATTCACCCCAGCTTACTAGCCACTCCCATCCAGATCTCCTTAGAGCCCTCCTCCAGGCACCCAAAACTACTTGGCCACTCCTAGATCCCTCCCACAGTCTTTCTGTATATAAGATCCATCTTGTCTCCATTAACATGCTCAGATTCTTAAAATCTAGTCACTGTTTAGATTCTTATAATCTAGCCATGTCTCAGATTCTTAAAATCTAGCCACTGCTCAGATTCTTATAATCTAGCCACCGCTTACCCATGTTCAGACTCCTTAAGAGTCTGCCCAATATGATGGATGTTCTAATAAACCTTGTCTTTGGCTGAAAAAAGAAAGTTGAACAAAAACCACCAGCAGAGTCACCATTTCTGGCAACATCCTTCATAAGTACTCCCCAACCTCTCTATGAAAAGGAGTGACATGTTTTATTTTATCTTTTCTGGAGCCAAGATTGGTCCTTCTATAACTCAGTGTTCAGTTTCATTTTAGTAAGACTTTTTAATGTTAAGTTAGTCATTGTGTATATTGTTCTCCTGATTCTGCTTAATTTGTCTTGCAGTCAAATTTATACAAGTCTTCCCATGTGTCTCTAAATTATTTATGTTCACAACATCTTAAGGAGAAATAATATTCTATTGAATTCATAATATAGCTTATTTTAATATGAGCTCCCTCTTCTCTCATTCTCTTCATCTCAAAACATCTTGACATTATATCTCATTCTTTTTTCCTTTTTTGCCAGTCTCTCTGAAAGAAGTGGCCCTTCTTGCCAAGGCTAACCATTCTAGATGTGTGCTTGACTCTCTTTCTACTCACAAATTTGATTGGTTTACAAATTTGTGATTTCTATCTTTTAATCTCTCCTATTTGAGTCTTCTCCATTCACACAGCTAAAGGACCTTAGTTCAGGCTCTCTTACCACTCCAGTCCATGCTATACCTTGCTGCCAATGAAATTTTTCTTAAGCAAAGATCAGATCACTTCACTCCCATACTCACCTGACTCCCATAGCTTCCTATGGTCTGTAGAATAAAACATAAACAATTCTGGCTGATTTTACAGCCTTACACAAAAAGACCCTCAACCCACCTTTCTAAATTCATTGGACATTACTCCTATTCTTGCAATCTGCATTCTAGCAAAATCCCATTTTAATAGCCAAGCTTGGAGGTTCATGTACAATGACACCTGGAAAAAAAAAATGTGGTAATTCTTTAGTAGAGACATAAATGATACTGAAGACATCAATGCATCCTTTGCCTTCAAGGGCTTCATGGTGTCTTTCTTCAAATCTTTTTTACACTTGTTTCATGGATTCATCCCTTCTTCAATACAGGCACTCCTTAGGTTCATTTCCTTGTAGCATCTTGTTGCATTATATCTGCTACAAAAGACAGAACAGAATGCTGTTCACAGTGCAGTTGCATAAAATATCCCATCTGGAAATTGTAGTACCAACTTTGAAATCTGCTACATACACTTATATTATTTTTTCTTCCTGCCAGAATATTTCTATTATTGTATAGATGTAGAATGGAATGGAAAATATTTAGTAAGCCTTTACTCTGTGCCAAGCACTGTTCTAAGCACCAGTGATAGTGAAAAAGTTTTTTCAAGGGACTCACACAGTAATTGGGAGACATACAATATAAAGGAGGGTTCAGTTTATGATTGATTTATGCTTAGATTTGGAGAAAGCAGATGGCAAATTCCTAAGGATTTTGGGAATGGCAAAGCAGATGATCTTTGACTAAGAGGATTTGGGATAGATGGCTCAGCATGGAACAAGACTTTGGAACACCTCTAGCAGATATAGGGAAAGGGGTAAAGGGAGATCAACATCCAATTTAACATGTTCCTGTAGTATCTGGTGGGACCTGGGATATAGGGAAATGGAACTTCAGTTGGTGTAGGGTATGATTCCTAGAATTCCAGCATCACATTTGGTTGTGGTGCTGGTCATGTGTTCAGCAAGTGAGAACATAGCATAAGTGTGTTAAAAGGAAAGTAAATTATTCTATAATTGGGGAAATAAAGTTATTAATTCAATACATTTTGGTCTGCCTATTTAGTATAGAATTAAAATAAGCCTATAAACTATTATATCTGGATAAACCATTACATTTCAATGTGGCCTCAGACTATTCAAGTGTACTTAATGATATTTATCATCCTTCCTACATTTCATTAGTTTTCCATCATATAGGATATGCATTCATGTATGCATAAACAGTTGATCCTCATTATTTGAAGATTCCATAATTACAAATTTACTTGCTTATTAAAAAGTATTGATAATTTCAAATTTAATACTTAAACAGCTTTCATGATCATTCACAGACATGTATAGAACAGCAAAAAATTTCTGTCACCTGACATGCACATTCCCAGCTGAAGATGAATAAGGTCAAGCTCTTCCTTCTTGCTTCAGCTCTCACATAGTAAGTAAAGGCCCTTTTGTAGTTTAGTTAGTTCCATTTTTTCACTTTTTTGTGCTTTTGGTTAGTGAATTCACAGTTTAAAATGTCCCCCAAACTATGGCTCAAGTTCTGCCTAGTGTTATTTTGTGTCTCTAATCCATTTTGCATAAACTTTGTGTATTCATATATTGTTTTCAGAAAAATAATTACCTTTTTATGGACATGTTTAGTGAATGTGTTACAATGGATCAGTTTTAAAATTAATTTACATGGTTTATATCAACATTTCCAAAGTAAAAATGTATTTGAAGAGTTACCTATTCTAAAACCTGAAATGTTTTAACAGAAAGTAAGAATATCATATGAGTATTCCAAGAATGACATGATCATGAGTAACATGTCAAAAGGTGCCTATCAAAAGGATAAATGGCCCAAGATAAATGACTATAATTAGACCTGTATTTGTCAAATTCATTAAAAAAAGAAGGGTAAAACATATGTTTATCATTTTATCTTCTTATCAATTAATATACAAACATTTCTTCATCCAACTCAAATTCTAATAGATTTTATTATTCATTCCATTTATTTCTCCTCTTTATTTCTTAATGGTTCTTAGAAGAAAAAAAAATTTCAATAGTTAGGGAATTTTCAATTTTATAATCCACTAATTTCTTTCATTGATGCCAAGAATTGTATTCTGTTCAAGAAAGGAGAACATTCCACTTGGATTTATCCTTAATCTTTCATGAAGGGTGTATTTATTGTAATTGGCTCTCTTTACATTCTTAATTCTCCCATGTGGGAGCATTTTGGAATAGGTCAAGGTTATTGTAAGAAATTTTGGTATGATAATGTTTAAACCATGTTGGCACTATTAAAATGTTTCATAAAAATGCTTGATATTCCATAAACTGTCTATCAATAGCCAATAAGCTCTAAAGCTGAAGAATAACAGGACAAATAGTCTTTTATATGAATATATAAATGCTTGCTTACCTTGTTTTTTATGAGTAAATACAAGATCATTAAAAAAACCAGAAAACTAAAAGGATACACATATAATGAGCAAGACATAGATAAACATAGAATATGGAAGCCATAGAATCAGAGTCTTTGTTCATGCTTATCTCTATGTCTGATAAGTTTTACCCTATAGTCTCTCTCTCCCCTTCCCAATTCTTTCAAAAATTTATTTAAGAGGACTTCTGGAGATGGAACCTAAAAGGCAAAATAAAGAAAGGCCTAAGCTGAACTCTCCAAACATCCACTCCCAACACCTTTAACTTGTTTAATTTGCATCAAATTGAATTCTGGAGTGGCAGAGAGAGACATTATTCCAGCCCAAGAAAAGCTAGGATGTTGGAAAGAGAGATCTGTGACATGTGGATAAAGCACCATTGGTGGGAGTAGGTGGTAGCAAGATAAGCAGCAGCTTTGGAAGCTCTAACACCAGAAAGAGTAAATGGATTGGAGAATTGGTCAGAGAAAATTTATAGGGTAACCCTAAGATAGCACATGATGCATGATCAGATGCTGTTTGGCAATTCCATTATCAAAGAAAACTATTCCAATGTCTTAGAACCAGGGGGTAAAATAAAAATGGAAAGAATCCACTGATCACCTTCTGAAAGAGATCCCCAAATGAACACTTCCAGGAATATTATACCAAATTCCAGAGCTTCCAGGTCAAAGAGAAAATACTTCAAGCAGCCAGAAAGAAAACATTCAAATACTGTGGAGCCACAGTCTGAATCACACAAGATTTAGCACCTACTGTATTAAAGGAGCAGAAGGCTCAGAATATTATATCCCAGAAATCAGAAAATCTGGGATCACAACCAAGAATCATCTACTGAACAAAACTGAATATAATCCATCAGGGGGAAAATCAGATAGTTAGTGAAATAGAGGACTTTCAAGCATTCCTGATGAAGAGACTAGAGCTGAATAGAAAATGTGACTTGCAAATACAAGACTTAAGAGAAGCATTAAAAAGCAGAAATAAAAGATAAATCATAAAGGACTCAATAAAGTTAAACATTTTGCATTTTTATATGGAAAGTCATGACACATGTATATTCTAAGAACTTTATGATTATTAGGGCAGTTAGAAGAATTCTAAATAGAGACTATGTAAATGAGTGAATTATGTTGAGACAGTGTATAAAAAAGGATGGGTATGAAAGAGGGATGCCCTGGGAGAAAGAGAAATGAAAAGAAGAAGGAGGAATATTATCTTTTATAAGCAAGGAAGAACTTTTACAATGAAGGAGAACATGGTAATGGTGGGGAATAGGAAATGATTGAATTTCATTCACATCTATATAGGTTCAAAAAGGGAGTATATATACACATACACATATACGTGTGTGTGTGTGTGTGTGTGTGTGTATTCAGCTGGTAATGGAAATCTATCTTTCCAAATAGGGATGTAGCAGGGGCAAGGAATAAGAGAAAGAGAGTATATAAAAGCATGAAGTGGTTAGAAGCATAACAGACATCAGAGGAAAAGTAGGATGAAAAGAAAAAGAAGGATAAATAGAAGAAAATAGGATAAAGGCAAAAGCATAGTTAGTAATCATAACTGCAAATGTGAAATGTAATGAAATCACCTATAAAAAAAGAAATGGATAGTAGAATGGATTAAAATAAGAATCCAAAAGTATTTTTTAACAAGAAAATAATTGAAACAGAAAGATACACAGAGTTAAAATAAAGCATCAAAGCAGAATCTACTACGTTTTAGCTGAATTAAAAAAGACAGGAGAAGAAATTATGATCTCAGAAACAACAAAAGCAAAAATAGAGCTAATTAAAAAGAATAAGTAAGGAAGCTACATCTTACTAAAATGAATCATATATAATGAAGTAATATCAATGCTAAATGTATATGCAGCAAATGCCAGAGCACCTCAATTCTTAAAAGAAAAGTTAAATGATTTATAGGAGGAAATAGAAAAATACAAGTTAAGGACTTCAACTTTCTCTTCTCAGAGCTAGCTAAATCTAAACACAAAATAAATAAAAAAAACTTTAAGGAGATGAATAGAATCTTGAAAAAGTTAGATATGATAGACCTCTGAAAGAAAATTGCATAGAAATAGAAAGGGGTATACATTTTTCTTAGCTATACATGACACCTTCACAGAAATTGCCCATGTATTAAGGCATAAAAGTCTCATAAACAAATGTAGAAAAACAGAAATATTAAATTTACCCTTTTCAGACTATCATGTGATAAAAATCATATTTAATAAAGGGCTATAGAAGTATAGATTAGAAGTTAATTAGAAACTAAATAATTTAACCCTAAAGAATGAGTCAAAGAACAAATTACACAATCAATAATTTCATTAAAGAAAATGACAAGATAACATTCCAAAATTTGTGGTATCCAGCCAAAGCAGTACTTAACATACATCAAGAAAAAGAATAAACTATTGGTTGATTAGATTTTTTAAAAAAGAAAGAAAACAAATTATTAGTATCAAACATGAAAAGGGTGAATACATCACTAATGAAAGTGAAATTATAACATTATTAGGAATTATTTTACCCAACTATATGCCAATAAAACTGACCATCTAAGGAAACTTAAAAAAAACTGCCCAGATTAACAGAAGAGGAAATAAAATGCTTAAATAAACTATCTTAGAAAAAGAAATTGAACAAGCTGTCAATGAGCTCCCTAAGAAAAAATTTCCAGGACCAGATAGCTTTACAAGTGAATTCTCCCAAACATTTAAGAACATTTAATCCCAATACTATATGAACTATTTTTTAAAATTAGGTAAAGAAAGGGTCTTTGATCTACTCTACAAGTTAATTGTTTTTTTTTAATTTTCTATCATATATTTCACATTTTCTTCTGTTTTTCAATCTTTTGATTTTATTTTATTGTTTCTTAATGTCTCATAGAGTCATTAGCTTCTACTTGCCCAATTATAATTTTTAAGGAATT